CCTCTGTGAGCCCGCGTGAGCTCTGCTTACTTGATTCAGTGGTCCATGCTCTCCTGGTGTCCTCTGTGCCTTCTAACTCCTAAAATTTTTCCTCTCCCTTTTCCAGGGAGTATTCTTATCTCCAGCTGGAGGGACCCAATGGAAACCTCCAATTTAGACTCTCTTTCCACATAATGTCTGGCTGTGGGTCTCTGCTGCCTGAAAAAAAAAAAACACCCTGGAGACAACTGGACAAGGGACAGTTCTACCCTTAGGAACATAGGAATAGCAGTCTACCATTAGGAACATTTCTTTTCTTTTTCTTCTTTTTTTTTGTCTTTTTTTGCCAGTTCTATTCTAGGTCTCTGGGCTATCCAATCTCCAGTTCCTGACCATCCAAGTAGTGTTGGGCATGGGCTTCTTCTCACGGCATGGGCCTCAAGTTAAGTCAAACATTGGTTGGCTACTCGCACAAGTCCTGCGCCACCACTGCTCCAGCACATCTAGCTGGCAGGAAAGATTGTCGGTCAAGGATTTTGATGCTGGGTTGGTGCCCATTCCCACTGCACTAGTTTTCCCTCAGTGTCAGCTGTCTGTCTCTGTACTTTCTCCCTCCATTCCTCCCACACACCTGATCCCTCCATCTCCCAGTCCACTCACAAAGTATATTATATTTTGCCTTCCTAGGGAGATCTATGCATCCCCCCTAAAGATTTCTCCTTTACCTAAACTCTTCCAGTTTGTGCATTGTAGCTGGATTATCACATACTTAACATATAATATCCACTTCTAAGTGAATAAATAGTATATCTGTTTTTCTGGGTATGGGTTACTTCAGAATATCTTGGGATAACTCTAACCATTAAGTTGAAAGACTTGTATGATAAAATTTCAAGTCTTTGAAAAAAGAAATTGAAGAAAATTTGAGAAGATAGAAAGATCTCCCATGTTCATAAATTGGCAGTATCAATCAAAAAGGCCTTTTTACTAGAAGCAATCTACAGCTTCAATGCAATCCTAATAAAAATTCAAACACAATTCTTACAGACCTTGAAAAGACAATACTCAGTTTCATATGGCAAAACAAAAAGCCCAAGTTAGCTAAAACAATAAAAGAACTGCTGGAGGTATGATCATCGTTGATTTCAAGTTGTACTACACAGCTATAGTAATAAAAACTGAATGGTATTGGCATTAAAAACAGACACACTGTTCAATGGAATCAAATTGAAAATACAGACATAAATCCACACACCTATGGACATTTGATTTTTGATAAACCAGCCAGAACTACACAATGGGAAAAGGAAAGCATCTTAAACATATGGTGCTGGTCAAACTGGATGTCTGTTCGTAGAAACATGCAAATAGATCCATATTTATTACCTTGCACAAAATTCAACTCCAAGTGGATCGAAGACCTCAGCATAAAACTAGGGACATTGAACTCAATAGAAGAGAAATTGTGGAATAGCTTTGAACAAATTGGCACAGGAGACAACTTTCAGAACAGAACACCAATAGTGCATGCACTAAGATCAACAATTAACAAATGAAAACTCAGGAACCTGAAAAACTTATGTAAGGCAAGGAAGGAACACCACCAGTCAGAAAAAGAACAGCCTTCAGAATGGGAAAAGATTTTTACAAAATCCACACCTGATAGATGTTTAATATACAAAATATATAAAGAACTTAAGTTTAGATATCAAAAACCAAATAATCTAATTAAAAATGGGATACAGATCTAAATAAAAAATTCTTAATAAAAGAATATCAAATGACCAAAAAATAAATAAATAAAGGAATGTTCAGTATCCTTTATTGTTGCCTGGGGGGGACAAGTCTCAAGCAGCTCAGAGCTCAAAGAAATCCATATTGGTGCATTCTAAGATTTTTCTATCTGAGGGCATTAGGGGAAAAGACACTCACACACTCTCTTAATGGTTTCCTTTGGATATTTTCTTTTTTCTTCTTTTGAATTCTCAATTCTTTATTTTCCTGGTGATTTCCTTCTCTCACTCTTGATGATTTCCTTCTTTTTCTGTCTTTATTCTTGATGTTTCCCATCTAGTTTCTTCTAACTGTCCCATTCTTGTTGTTTTCCTTCTAATTCTATGTCTTTTATTCTTGGTGTTTTCCTTCTAACTAATTCTATGTCTTTTGTTCTTGGTGTTTTCTTTCTTACTCTCATTCTTGATGTTTTCCTTTTAGCTCATTTTAACTCTAACTCTGTCTTTATTCTTTCCCTTACTGCTTATATATCCCAACAAAAAAATTTCAGGCAAAATAAAATTTTCAATGGAGTTATATTCTGGTTTTCAAGTGTATGATTACAAAGAATATACAACAAACAGTGAAAAACGTCATGTTTTCCATATCCCTTACATGACTAAACATTTTATGTATTACAGGTGAAAGTCAAATTATCCCAGTAACCCGCATACATTCATACTGGAAGCAACTAGTTACAGATTAACCATGTGGGCAATCAAGGTATTCTTCTCAGTCAGATCTTTTACAAGGAGACGACATTTTTGCAGTTACAGAAAAAGGGCCAATTACTTTGTTGCTTATCTTGAAAGGTAATCTTATAAGGAATCTTAAAAGAATCACAAATCTAAACTTTTGTATATGAAAAAGAATCAGTCTGCTCTACTTTAAGTCTTCAGGGTAAATGCTCATTCATCAAAAAATTTTATATTAGGTGATTGAGGGCAAATATGGGTATAAGAAATTAATCATCATCTTTGGTCATCAACCAATCTTAGCAAGAAAGGTTCATCAGCAAGTAATAATTGGGTTGCTTTGTTCTTGTTTCTTGACCTTAACAAGTTCTGCATTCAATTAAGTGCCTTTCTAAAACTTTAGATTATCTTCTTGGGTTTTTTTGTTTTGTTTTGTTTTTATCTCAAAGCTATTTCACAAAAGCATCTTAGTCTACTTTAAGTTATTTTCAAAGCTTTGTCTCAGCTATAATGTACCCCCAAACCTGTGAACATATCTCTCAACACTAAGATTAAAAGAATTTAAGCCAGCTGGGCTAACTAGGGCTCATTTGTTTTTCTTAATCATTAAACTAAGCTCCTGTCTATATGGCTCTTCAATGAAAACTCATGTGTTATAGCAGTGTGACATTTCTTTGTTTATTATTTTAATCATCAAAATTCTATTTAAACTAACATTATTATCATTTAAACAGTATGTCTTAGGAATAAATCATCTTCATAATAATAAACAGGTAAAATACCCATTAGAAGGGGGTGTTTCCATGAGATTAAACACAATGCATTTTAGACAGTGGAGATTCATACCATGCCAGATACCAGAGAAAGATAGCAGCAGCAAAAATGTAAAGGCATAGCAAAAGAAAAAGATTTTTCAGATTATGTGGTCTCAGGCCCTTGCCTGTCCAAGACTGACCCATCAGAGAGTTTCCTTCTGGTGGGCTGACACCTTGACTTTGAATTGCCACCTGCTGATCCTCTGACAGACACCTGCAATCCTTAGACATCAAAGAAATGAAAACCAAAGTGACTTTGTGATTCCACCTTATACCTGTCAAAATGGGTAAGATCAAAAACACAAGTGACAGCTCACACATTCACTTTGAAAATCAATATGGTGGTTTCTCAGAAAATTGGGAATCAACCTACCTCAAGACCTAGCAAACCAGCTATTGGCCATATACTCAAAAGATGCTGAATAATATTACAAGGTCACTTGCTCAACCATGTTCACAGAAGCATTATTCATAATAGCCAGAACATGGAAACAACCTAGATGCCCCTCAACCAAAGAACGGATAAGAAAAATGTGGTGCATTTACACAATGAAATACTACTCAGAGTAAAAATCAATGACATCATGAAATTTGTAGGCAAATGGATGGATCATCTTGAGTGAGGTAATCCAGACTCAGAAAGACAAACATGGTATGTACTCACTCTTAAATGGATATTAGACACAAAGCAAAGGATAACCAGGTTACAATCCACAACCTCAGAGAAGCTGTGTAAAAAGGAGGACCCTAAAAAGGACACACCTGGAGGGACCTAGGAAGGGAAATAGTTAAGATATCCTGGGTAAACTGGGAGGAGGGTAGAAGGGAAGGGAATGTAGATTGGAACAGGAGGGACTGAGATGGCTGAGTGGAGGGAGTGAAGGAGAGGGAGAGCAAATTAAAGAGATATCTGGGTAGGGGGAACCATTAGGGGTTTAGGGAGAAACCAGGTGCTGGAGAAACCCCCAGGAATCTACAAATGACACCAGCTAAGACTCCTAGCAATAATGGAGAGGGTGCCTGAATTTACTTTGCCTCATAATCAGATTGGTGACTACCCTAATCATCACCATAGAACCTACATCCAGTAATTGATGAAATCAGATGCAGTTATCCACAACCAAGTGCTGGGCTGAGCTCCTAGATTTCAGCTGAAGATAGGGAGGAGGCATCACAGGAGCAAATGAGGTCAAGATCATGACAGGGAACACCACAGAGACAGCTGACCCAAGCTGGTGAGAGCTCATGGACTCAGGCCCGTCAGCTGGGGAACATGCATGGGACTGCACTAGACCCTCTGAATGTGGGTGACAGTTATGTAGCTAGATCAGTTTGGGGAGCTCCTGGCAGTGGGACCAGGACTTATCCCAGTGCATGAGATGGTTTTTTGGAATACATTCCCTAGGGTGAGATATCTTGCTCAATCTAACACAGAGGGAGGGGCTCAGTCCTACCTCAACTTAGTATGTCAGACTTTGTTGACTCCTCAAGGGAGGCCTTACCCTCTCTGAGGAGTGGATGGGGGTGGGATGGGGGGAGATAGGGGGTGAGAAAAGGGAGGGAGGGGAACTAGAATTGGTACATAAAAGGAAAAAAAACCTTATTTTTAAAATAAAAATAAAAAATAAAAATGCCATCATTTTTATTTAAATTGATGCAACTAAAGTATTAAATGTTTTTGATGATTGTTATTATTAAATTTACTATAAAATAAAGAAAATACTTCAATTTTTTACACTTCCTACTTATTATTTCTGAAAATAAATTGTGTAATAGAAAATATTGTTCCTTCTATAAATTTTGTTTCTAAAAAATATAACTGTTTCTGCCTAATTGATGTGAGAGTTACTGTAGCAAGCTTTCTTGTCAGAGTTTCTTAGACTTCCAGCCCACAAACAATGACCCAGAGACTTATTTTTAAGTATGAAAGCTTGGCCTTAGCTTAGACTTTTTTCCAATTATCTCTTATAACTCAATTAACCCGTATTTTCTACGTTCTGCCCCATGGCTCCCTTACCAAAACTTGCTCTGAGTCTGCTGGTGGAATGGCGCACCTGGATTCCTCCCCCTCCTCCCCCAGTGTCACTGTCTCTGCCAGGAAGTCCTATCTGTTCTCTCCTGCCTAGCTACTGGTCATGTGTCTCTTTACTAAACCAATCAGAGGGCACCTTAGGTAGAGATGCCTCTTTACAGCATACACAAACATTCTGCAACAAGTTACATTAAGCTGGTGAAAACGAACAGATACAACGGTCTTAGCCTTTGGTTTGGTATCAATTTATCACTAAAAAAGATACTTTGGAGTTTAAATACTATAAGTAATTTGAAAATACTGGACCACTATAGCTGCAATTAGCTAATATGAAACTGTCCTCGAATAGGAGGGGCACTGTTCTGACAGCATTGGTGCCGTTAGAAGATGCCCAGAAAAGACTCAGAGATGGAGAAAACTATTCCAGCAATGATCCTATGTTGTAGCAATGGGAAAGATGGAGGGTCCTCTGTAGGTTCCAGAGGCAGCATGGCTGTGGCACCGCCTTGACATCAGATTTCTAGCCTCAAAAATGTAAGGAAGCAAATTCTGTTATTTAAAACACTGTACATTTTCTTTATGCAAACTGTTGAAGGAAACTGATACACCAAAGAATACCAGATACTTAGGTCAGAAATACAACTTGAAACAGTTCTAACTAAATGTGAGGGAAGTACGTTAAAAGTTTGGTTTTGGAGTCTTTCCTTTGAAAACTGAGAGTTGTAGATGAGTTGCACCCCACCTGTTATCCTGGCAACGCTCAAGAGAACAACTCTGTCCATATGATATTATATCAAAGCTTTTAATCAGAGGTGCAAATTGGTCTTAGTTTTTAGTTTTACTTCCCACTTGCATGACTTCTGACTTGCATGACTCGAACCCCTTGTCTTTTTTGATAGTATGCTCTCTCTTTCTGTTATCCCCCAATCACTCTCTTTATGGTTCAGCATTTTTTTCCTCTTCTACCCTTTTACACGTTGTAATGAATCAGAGACATTCTTCCCTCCTTAGTTCATTAACATCTGTGCATACAACGAGTCTGTTTACAATGATTTTACTCAAAGAATAATTTAACTTATTACTTCATTTATTGGTTGAGACAATGTTGCATGGAGCCCAGGCTGCCCTGTGCCAGCTAGCTAGTGGAGAATGATCTTGAATTTCTTAATCTGTCTCTACGTCCCTAGTACTGGGAGTGCATGACAGTGTTCAGTTTTAAGTGTTCCTGGTGTAGCATGAATCTTAAAAGGAGTTATTAATAAAACAAACCTGGCACCAGGTATTGGGGTAAATGCTGGAAGATCAGAGGAGCAGAACAAGCCACAGCCACCTCACCTTACCAATTCCTCAGCTGATCCTGTTTCCTCAGACTGGAGGATTCTTAGTCCTCATCCAAATGGTTCTCAGTGAACTGCTGCTCACAAGCCTAAAAGCTTAACCAGGCTCTAGTTCCTGGTCCTCATGCCTTTTATACCTTTCTGCTTCATGCCATTACTTCCTGGTATTAAAGGTGTGTGTCACTGTGCCTGGCTGTTTCCAGTGTGGCTTTGAACTCACAGAGATCCAGACAGATCTCTGCCTTTGGAATGCTAGGATTAAAGGTGTGTGTGCCACCATTTTCTGGCCTCTGTGTCTATCTAGTGGCTGCTCTGTTCTCTGACCCCAGATAAGTTTATTAGGGTGCACAATATTTTGGGGAACACAATATCACCACACTCCTGGAGTTTGAACCCAGGGCTTTGTGCATGCTACACAAGCACTAGACAACTTAAGCTTCATTACTCACCTTCAAGAAGGATGTTCTTGACTGCATCTCTCTTCCCACTACATCTCAATCTTGTTTCATTCTATTTATCACTGTCTTGTCAGTTTCCCCCTACTTTTATGCAAATGCCTTTCATAATACATGTATTTCTACAAAGATTTTATTTTTATCTTACTCATGGTGGTTAATCTAGCAACTTACAGAATTCCAGTTATGGGAGAAGTATGCAATAAATATTTTTCACTTTAGTGAAAATAGTGTTTTGTGAAAGAGTTTTTCCTCTAATACGTTTGACTAGACACTCCAGCGACCTAGAGTAAAACTAAATACTGCTGGTCTTAAAAGAAAAGTAACAGTAAATTTACTCCCAGTGGTATTCTGATATTCATAGATGGTGCCTTATTCAGCCATTGTTAGGACTGGCTTTCTCCTGTAGCAGATGGAAACTAATACAGAGACCCACAACCAGACATGATGCAGAAAGAGAGGCCTCGAAACACACAGCTCTAAATGAGATGTCTCCTTCAAAATCTCTCCCCTCAGAGCTCAAGAAATCCCATAGAAAATGAGGAAGAAAGAATTTTGTTATATATATATATATATATATATATATATATATATATATATATATATATATAATCTCCATTATCCTGCCGTTGCCTGAAATAATGGGGATCCTGCAGCTATGGTTCTACAAGACCAGTCCCTTCATAGATGGTCACAGATGGGGTAGATACTAGGGAGGGCCAACCCAGGCCCAGTATGTGGGTCTGGGTGGTAACTGAGCTGGTCTGTCCAGGCCACTAGTACCACACACCCCCAAGCAAGAGGCAGAGCCAGCTCTCCTAGGCCAAGGCCATCAGGGACAGTTCTCCCAAGCCTAAGCCCATAGTGAGGGCTGGGGACATCTCTCCTGAGTATAGGTGCCAGCTTTCCCATGAGGGGCAGGGCCAACCCTCTTCCTGCAGTGTCCAGAGCAGGTGAGAGCCAGCTATCCCAGACCCAGGAAAGGGCAAGGTCGGTTCAGCACAGACTTCAAATTTTAGCATGCATGGTTCTTATGGTCCCCTGTGATAACACGGGCCACAGTAATCAACAGAGACCCCAATGCAGCAGGACCATGGACCCAGACATGGCCCTCTGCAACAGCTTGGCTTGGATATCACCATGGCCCTGGAGGCAAGGCAGATCACCCAGATCATTATGGCAACATGTGCCTTGAACACCTATATAGCTCAGGTGACTAAACAGATCCCAGTCATCCCCACAGCCCTCAGTGGTAACAGAAGCCACAGACCAAAACTCCGACCTGGTTGCTGCAATGCCTTGGATACAGACATGGCAGCAGTCGGAAATGGAATGGCTCCCTGCTCCTAGGTAGCAACCAGGCCACCCACATCAGCCTGTTCCTCACTAACTTACCTCCTTCAGATCTGCCTCTTTCCACTGTACATGAACCATTCAGCTCCTCTTTCTCTCCCATTTCTCCATATATGTATGCTGACCATAATGGCAGCTACCAGGAAAGCACTTTGTGGTGCACGGTGGGCTATGGATGCCAGTCCAGATTGTGAAGACCCAGGTTGGCCCCTGGCTGTCTTTCACCTGCCTGAGCCAAGTGGCACCTGTTTAAGAGCAGGACGGGATGGAGGACACCTGAACAAGACCTCTCTAAATCAACGTGATCCAATCTCACAGGAATTCACAGATACTAAAGAAGCAAGCACAGGGCTTACACAGGTGTGCACCAGTTTATCTGTAGAGATACTGTAGCTTTAAGTGTAGTATTTTTTGTGAGACTTCTGAGTATGTGAAGGATGGGGGCCTCTCATTCTCGTGCCTCCTCTTCGAGCTCTTTTCCCTATGTTGGTTTGCCTTACCGAATTTGATGTAGTAGTTTTTGCTGCACCTTATTATATTTTATTTTGTTATGGTTTGCTGTTATCTTTTAGAAGGATGATGCTTTCTAATGAGAGACAGGAAGAGGGTCGATACAGAGAGAGAGAGAGGAGGTGGAGAGGAACTGATAGGAGTAGACAGAAGAATAACTCTAATTAGGATTTATTGAATGAAAAAAAGAAGCTATTTTAAGTGTAGGAAGCATCTATAGGTAACACTTTGCCTAACATTTCATTTTCAAGACTCTATTCTACATTGTTTTTGTTCTATGCTCTTAAGTGTGTGTGTATTTGCAGAAGCCATGAACAAAAAAAAATTCATTCTCTCACGGCAATATTATCAAGTGTTTTATATGTTGCTATACTACCTAGAAAGGAGAAAATTAAGACATAATTTTTCACTTAATAAATAGTCTTAATTGTATATTTACTTACATAGATTGTAAAATTAATAAGGCAAGGCAAGAGGAAATTTTATATGTCTTCTTAACATATACAGCCACATTGCTTCATGAAAATTGCACTGGGTCTAAAGTCTGCCCAGTTGCTTTTCAGAAGTATATAGAAGTGAATGATGAGACTGTTGGTGCAGATCATATGTGTGACTTTCTGGCTCTCACCCCATCTAGTCTCAATACTGCCTATTCCTGCCTATCAGCCACTAGGAATCAGTGTGTCTGCTGCTATACTGAGCCTTCCCATCAGATATGAAGCTGTCCTCCTCTCACAAAAATATATGAAGAGAGAGTTCTCCCTGCACATAAATGAATCATAGATGTAGAGTATAAGCAGAAGAATAAAGAAAAAAATCCTCCATTTATTCATTTCCTATATAACAAGGAAAAAATAGTGAATTACCTTTGGAGGCACGGCACTAGATCTAGGAAAATTTTCTTTCCACTCCAATTGGTGCCTAAAGTCACTTATGGATATCTTTAAAATATGATTCATATGTTATATAGATATAGATGTATATATTCAAATAAAGAGGGGCAGAGTCATTTTTAGCATTTTAAAAATATATTCAAGTTTCTCCCTATTTTTTAGAATTTCTTTTATTTTGTTGAGAACATCAGAACTTCTAGACATCAATTTGAGAAAAAAAGGCACAAACATGATGTATCAGAGGCAGACAATACAAAACAATGAAAACCATCTTCCACAAGACATTCATTTCTTACAGGATCAGTATAGCCCTAACACTCCAAGAATCTCAAATCCTAAGAAACAATGTGTTTCCACTATATCAATTGCCAGACCCATTGATAATTTCTTTCCCCTTTTCATCTCCTGCTCTTGATAGGAGCATAAAAGTACCTCCTACATTTTCTATAATGATTAACATAAATATTAGAGACAGAGTACATTATTCCATTCTTACTGGAAATGAAAACCCTGCTTCCTCTCCAACATGCTATGGCATACTGTTTTATGATATGCATGTTCTTTAGAAAAGAAAACAAATCATTTTTATTGGAGTTACTCTCATGTTTATTTCAGATGACCCAATGCTGAGAAGAACCTCATGTGCGGTAATATAGAGTGTCTTTGTAACTGAGATTGAGGAAGCAATCCCTGTGCTAGACAGCAAATCATTATAATATGCATTACCGTATGGTTCTCCCCCGTGGGTTTCAGTAACAGGAGATTTGTGTAGTCTCTGTGATGGGTTAATGAACTAAACTCCCACATAAAGAGAACAGAGTTCAAATTCTATGTGCACCTTACGCTTCAAAAAGGTAGATGATTGATTGTTCCTTGATGTCAAGTTGTCCTTTCCTCCTCAGCCAGCTTGAAGTGGAGGTGTTTTTTTCATATTAAGGTTTAACTGACACTTGACAATTTGAAGATTTCAGCCACTTTTAAGTATTCTGGAATTTAAGACTTAATAAATTTCCACAGAAATGGAGTTTGAGAATCACAAAAAATACACTTTGAAATGAATGCTTTGAAATATAACCCAGCTCTGAAAAAAAAATAACATTTTTAGATTAGAACAATCCACACAGGAGACATGAGTAGTTTCTATCTAAGTTGATTTTAATTTAAATTTAGAGAAAAACAGTGATAACATATTTAAAAATTCAGTTAACACAAATGACTCATAGTTCTCAACATTTACTGATATTAAAATAAAGGCATACTACTATGCAAAGGTGTGTATTCACAAATAACATTGAGGTTAGCAAATATTTCTCTATTTTGGTTTCTTTAGTACAGTTACTAAGAC